GCAGAGCATCCATTGCTGAGACACTGATGCAATGCTACATTTCTCCAAACCTGATGAAGAAACAAACTCATCCTAATTTTTGTTGGCCTGAAAATGACCACATTTTCATTTTTGGGTGAACTAGCCTATTCTTTCAAATAACAACTCATTTCACTTCCAAAATTTGACATTCAGACATTGAGAAAGCAAATGTAGTTCAGGACTTGATGTTATCCAGGAACAGATTGGATGGTGAAACATGTCGTTATGTGACAAGTTATTACATTTGCATGGAATATTATGAAGAGATTCAGATCCATATTTTAGGAGTTCTCTTGAACAACAGAGAGTTTAATAGATACATGAATACACGCATGTGTGCAGTTGTAAGTATATAAACTGTATGACACATAATGCGTCCTGAAATAGAAGCACAGATAAAACATAAACCTGCATTTCCTTAGAACTGTGCCACAGATTATTGCATCCATGCATAAATGCAAGTACAGCAGAAGTGTTGCATAGTCTTACAGCAAGACTGCAAATGGAAACTGTGGAAAAAAAGAGACAAAAAGTGCAAAATCCTGAACAAACAGGGATTTTACAAACAAGTTTTTTTTTAATGTTTAAAAGAGAAATGCTATGGGGTCACAAACGTTCAGATTCCGCACTAATTCTATGTAATTAATCAATTGTAATTCATTCTCATGTGAATCATTGCACAACTTTTCTTCTTCCATTCAAGCTCAAGATGCTCCTTGGAGACACTTAACATGGTTTAATTTAACTTTGTACTCAAATATCATTGGTTAGTAATGAAAACCTTCATATTAAATTATACACATTTAAAGAAGAATCATTAGATCATTAATTATCTCAGACTTTTGGACATCACCTCTGATTTTTTAGTAAAAACAGCAATTTTTTGACTTGAAATAATTCATGGATAACAATTCAATGCTCCATTGAAACAAACACTATACCTATGCAATGCTTGGAGATATTAGTGGAGACTGGGGCAAGTTGTCACATTTTGGGTGTGTGTGTGTGTGTGTGTGTGTGTTTTAAACTCTTTTTAATATTTCTCAGTGTGATTTTATTTGTAAAATACAGTTTACAGTAAACCAAATCCCAATATCAGGGCATATTGTTCCAGTATATGGGGTTAATTTACAATTTAGTTGCCTATAAACAACTATGAAACAAAAACCAAGTCAAAAAATGTAGGTTATAAGTATCAAAACCATTGTTTTGACTAATACTGTAATTAATCCACTGACTGAAATTACAGCACACGTGTGACAACTTGCCCCGAGCTGTCAACGATGAAAAATACTCGTCCCTTGAAGCTTCAGTTCAAATGGGTTCGGTTCAAATCTGCCTTCATAATGTCTTAATGTACATAATAGCTACTGAATGTTCATTTGAAGGACAGAATTTAGAAACGACCACCATGCAAAACAACTGCTAGAAAAAGCCCAAAGTTATTAAGATACAGACCTTGTGACAATTAGCCCCGGACTCAAAACGCAACGGCAAAGTGTGAAGAACGAATGTTGAAAAGTGACTTGCTGTCATTCAGCGGGAGCTTCACACGCATCTCAACAGTCCTACAACGAAACAACAGAAAATTATTTCATATTAATGTTGAATCAGAATAAAGATGTGATTGAGAAGCTGCAGATGCACCTGATCTCCTCATTTTCGCGCTCTGTTCCTCACAGGCTCGCGCCTCCTCCTCCTCCTCCCTCAGACACTATTCATCCGATTTATATTCGTTTACTTTAACAGTTATTATCGCCATAAAATAAAATAAAGCGCGTTAATAGCCGTAATAACTCACGCGGCTTATTCTCCTCGTGGCGGGACGACGAGCGGCTGATAAAGACTAATAGCGTTTCTTTATTTGCACAGATTGTCAGTTGAAATCAAAAGAAACCGTTAAAATTGTGTTTGTTTGAAATGTTATTGGATGAGCAGTGGTGGGAGCCGTTGATAAACGCACACCTGGACGTGCAATTTAAATTAACGCGCCAAAATGCTTTCCAACCGAATAAACGGTCACTAGAAGAAGAGTACAGATTTGAAAGACGGATAAAATGGGGTACAGATAGCTGGATAAATACAAAGTTACACGGATATAGATAGATATAGAAAAGGGTCATATGAAGGAGCATATTCCTACTTATGTTCCCATTTAATAACTGAAAAGAGATTTTTCTTTTCTGTATTAACTCGTGTGGCTTATTTCTTCTCATGACGGGACGAGCAGCTGATAAAAACTAATGGCGTTTCTTTATTTGCAAAGATTTTCAGTTTAAATGAAAAGAAACCGTTTAGGTTGTTTAAATGTTTAATTGGATGAGCGCTGTTGTGGGATCCGTTGATAAACGCCGCGCAATTTGAATTAACGCGCCAAATTGCTTTCCAACCGAATAAAGGTCACTAGAAGAGTACAGATTTGAAAGACGGTTAAAATAGGTACAGATAAAGACAGGTATAGAAAAGGATCGTTTGGAGATGCATATTCCTACTTTATGTATAGCTTTAATAACTAAAAAGAGATGTTAATATTATTTTTCCAGGTATCAGAGAACAAAAAGTCAATCCACTGTTAATTTGGGGAAATATGAAGACAAAAGGCGATTCTAGTTGGTCGTGAGCGGAGACCAAGTCACAAGTGAAAGACAGATTTCTTTAACGAGGTATAGAAATTAGAGACATCTAGCTCAAAAAAAGTTTAGTTTGATTAGTTTGAGGAAGAGAAAATGACTCAAAGAACTCAACTGTACGAACTGAATTCTCTTTGATGAATCCGTGCTTAAATATAAAACTGGGGTGGTTTGCTGGGACAGACACCAAACTAGTTAAGATGTTTTAGATAAATGGTTTTAGACAGCGTTTAAATCAGCTATATCAGCAACGAACAGTTTCCACCTGCAAATCAGGTATTAAGGTTTTGAATTATTGGATGAATTATTAGAAAAATGGTAAAATCACAAGAAAAATACCTTATAAACAGTAAGACAGACACAAGGCATTGGTTCTCCCAAAAAAAAGTAACTATTTTCCAACTTTATTCTGCAATTGCTTCAAATCAGAACTTCACAATATTAATTTCATTTAAAGAAAACAAAACAAAAGACATCAAAATTGAGACACACTTCAAAGGGAATCTGAAATAAAAACAGCAAACATCAAAACAACATTAAAACTGCGAGAGTTCAAATTTTCTACAAATATACCTAATCGATGTTTTTACAGCAGTAACTTTTTCTTAAATATGGTTCTTTGAATATTCAAAAAGCTCAAAACCAAAGCAATATTATTGTAATATTCTGTAGGCCACACCTACAGATGTTAAAATGCTTCGGTCTTGAGCAAAGCGATGAGGGCAACAAATGTAAATATGGATCAGCTAATCTATAATTGACCATATATGTAAACGCATATTAAATGAGTATGTTTTACATAAGTCAGATCCAAAAGAGACCTCAGGTTCAGGTCTTTAGTAATTAATATTTAACAGCTTCATAAACAGCTTTTGGATTGTTGGTAAAGCGGGTCATGAATATGGATCAGTCTTTTATCTCTGGGTTGGTGGGTTGGTATCTGACATTAGTTTCGCAAACATCAAAACAAAGACTTGTGACAGATACAGGCCAATAAATTTCAACACCAGACATGAAAATACATAAATTACTCATTCACACGCCCCTCTAAACCTGTATGATGCTCTTCTGTGGATCACAAAAGATGGCAAAAACAAAAAAAAGAGAAATTCATACGGGTTTGGAATGACATGAGGGCGAGTAAATGATGAGCGACTCTTAATTTATAGGTCGAACTATTCCTCTACGACGGCTATGGTCTCCTCAGGTCAAGGCTGGGAATTGATGGCTGCGTTCTCAAAGAGCAAGACGACTTAATCTCGCTCTTAAGGGACGACAGTGTAGGGCTGGTACGGTAGCATCTTCTGCCTGTCATTGATGGCGAAAATCCAGGTAGGTTTCACAAAGCTCAGATTGCCATTTTCCATCAAGGCCTGTAAAAAAAGACAGAACAGGCAGTAAAAGATGATGAAAAGGAAGAAAAGACCTTGAGACGTTTAAAAGAGCGGCGAGAGCTGGAGGCCGAGGGTTTTCATTACTACTGCGGCCCTGCCGGAGAACATCACACGAATGAATCGGGACAAACAGAACCAGATCTGAATGTGCTGTCGGTGAAGACTTTCTCAAAGCCTTTCAAATGTACAGTCTATTGTACAGCAGAACGATATGAAAAAGCCTGCAACTTGAAACCAGAAGGACAATTTTTTTTACAAAGCCTAACACATGAAGCCACTTGTTAGTGGCACTTGCCAAGTCAAGCCAAAAGACAATGGACTTAGTCAAAAAACAATGGCGTTTGCGAATACTGGTTCTTTAAAGGGGTCATATGATGCTGCTAAAAAGAACATTATTTTGATTTGTAGTCGTGTCCTCTTTTGGAAGACCAAACAAAGTAGTTTCGCTTTCACAACGAAGCACACAGCGTCTTCACGACATGGCGGCGGCAACAATACTACAGCGAGAATAAAAGTTACGCCTTCTTTCTTTGCGTGAACATTTGGGCGGCGTTATGCTAATCTTCCCACATAGTGACGTAGACATGTGGGGGCGTGTTAGAACGAGCCGTTTTAGGTAGGCGTGGCTGACTCTTAACTTTTATAAAGAATATCTCTTTGGATTTGAGACTTTAGTCTTTGCAACTTTACAGATCTTCTTTATGCACCAAGAGCTTGTAACACTCCAAAGAGAAAGGAAAAACTGAAATCGCATCATATGACCCTTTAAGTCATTTTATAGAGTCACAAAGGGCCATCTGTAGTAGAAAAATCTATATTCAGCATTGTCTTCCTTGTGACTTTTCTGTATCAGGGTTTCTGCAGGATTTTTAAGCTCAAATTTAAGACCTGCACAAATAAAATTAATACCATATGAGCGGGGTAGGGCAATGTTTATAGTAACATATTAAACTGTAAAATGACCGTAAAAAGGCAAGATTTAGTTCAGATACAAGTTTTCACAAAAACAGAAAGTTTTATAAAATGATACACTTCACATTTCAGCCTTTAAATGGATGAGTCGAAAGTATTAATTATTATATTAATTTAAAGGCACAATATGTAGGATTTTTGTGATAAAATATACAAAAACCACTTGCACAGTGTGATATGTTTCATGCAGTTGTGTACTTACGTCGTCCCAAAAGTTCCCAAGGATTTGTAAATCCAGAGAAATTCCTATTTTAAATAATGACCTGTTCCTCCCTAGTCTTTGTCGCCTATCAATGACATATCTGCACTATCCTCGGCTTCAGCACCATAGAAACTAAAAAAAAATGCTGCTGTACAGTTAAACTAAACCTAATGGCTGTCGGGAATAAAATTAAAATTAAATGAAAAGTGTTGACTGCAGCATTAAATTTAGATTCTTTTTACACGTTTTTACAGTGCTGTGTATTCTAACCAATCACACACGAGTCTGTTGAGTTTATGAACGCAATGGCCAATCAGAGGCGTTCAGATGAGTCATCTTCATCACCAGAAGAGGTTTTTGTTCAGTGTACGCGTTTGCTGACTGAACTCTGCTCCCACGTGAAATCTCTCATCATAAACAACAAAGTGCAGATGTACGTATGATGTAAGAGATTCATTCGCTGAATGAAACTGTGGAAGGTACAGGTAATGAAAAAATCTCATTCGTGAACATGATTCGTGAATTCCATACATAAAATGACATCTCGCATAGTTCCTCCCTTCTTTATATCATCGTCAAGCTTTGCCTTTGTTATTGTTTTGAAAATGTGATCTCTAGCGGCGAAAACTTACATATTGTGCCTTTAAACAATTATCAATAAATTATTATATTAATTAAATAACATATAAACACATTTTACTGTTTAGATTTTATAATGCATTATCTTCTTATCGATCCACCAGTTAATATTTACAGCTCAGCGTGTTTGCAGGGTAAAAACATGGGTCGATTTTCACTTTTGTCTGAACAAAAACAGCAGACGGGCTTATTGAAAATGCACATTTATTCTCTGCCAGCAGGTGGTGCTTTCGGAACGGCAGAAATATAACCGTTTCCCCGTTAACGGCAGTACACAAAGCAGCACAGCAGCTGACCTTGAAACATGTAGCGCTCATGTTTATTTAATGAAATCATAGCCTTCTGAAGTTTAATCGTCACATTAAGCTGTATTGCATTTCTGGTCTTTCCGTCCCCAAATTTAAGACCTCTTGATATCATAATTAAGACTTTCTTGTACAATTTAAAGGGCTCATATGATGCAATTTCATGTTTTTGGAGTGTTACAAGCTGTTCGTGCATATATAAGATTTGTGAATTTGCAAAGATTAAAGTCTCAAACCCAAAGAGATATTCTTTGTGAAAGTTAAGACTCATCCACGCCCTCCTAAAATGCCTCACGCCTCCACAAATCTACGTCACTGTGTTGGATGATTTGCATAACTCCGCCCAAATGTTTACGCAAAGAAAGAAGGCGTAGCTTTTATTCTCGCTGTAGTATTGTTGTCGTGGAGATGCTGTGTGTTTCCAAATATGGTAAGGGGCGTAAGATTTCCGTCACACGCTTGAGGTTTTCAGCCAATCACAACACACTGGATAGCTGGCCAATCAGAGCACACCTCGCTTTTCAGACCGATGAGCTTTGTAAAAATCAACGCGTTTCAGAAAGACAGGGCAGAGAGGAGCCACAATAATGTACAGTATGTGGAAAATAATGTGTTTTTTCAACCTTAAACCACGTAAACGCATTGCAACGTCATATGAATCCTATAAAACTTTTTATGGCCTTAAATTTGATACAACTACATTTAAGACTTTTTAAGGACCCTGCTGTATGTAATACGTGACCCTGGAGCACAAAAGCAGTCTTAAGTCGCTGGGGTATATTTGTAGCAATAGCCAACAATACATTGTATGGGTCAAAATTATTGATTTTTCTTTTATGCTAAAAACCATTAGGATATTAAGTAAAGATCATGTTCCATGAAGATATTTTGTAAATTTCCAGATTTTCAAATAGTTGTATCTCAGCCAAATATTGTACATCCTAACAAACCATACATCAATGGAAAGCTTATTTATTCAGATTTCAGATGATGTATAAATCTCAAGTTCAAAAAATGTACCCTTATGACTGGTTTTGTGCTCCAGGGTCACATATACCACCTACAGAGCTAAAAAACAAGACGCAATACTCACATCCTCAAACGATTCGTCCCATCCCTCGCTGGTGACGACAAACTGGACCTTCTCGCTCATGTAGTCTTCGACAGCTCTGAGGAATCAAACAGATCAGATCATTTCATCGGTCACGCTCCACCTACAGCCTCTCGAAGGCCTGTCAGCGCTAACGCCATTCCTCTGAAGCGCTTCAAATGGATTATGAACGCTTCACACTCTTAAGCTCATCTGAATGCACGTCTGTCTCGTACCCGTTGAAGGCAATGATGTAGCGTTGCAGTTGCCTCTTCTGGTTGTCAGGGAACTTGCCGTAAAGATAGAAGCGTTTTCCTGTTAGGAAGTCTGAAGGAGAGAAAAATGAAGATGATTTATTAAATGTAATACTCAGACGTCCAAGTCAGGATGAAGTGGCGAGGCGTCAGACCTGGTAGTTCGGGGATGGGTTTATCCTCCTCTTCCTCAGCATCCGTGTTCTCATCAGTAGAGCCGCCGTACAGATCTTCATCTTTCACCTGAACCGCTGCACTTTCCTTCGCTGCTTTCTTCCTCCTGCTCTCCATTTCCACCCTGAAACAGTCGAATATAAACACTGGAGCATTACGCATGTTTTAGCCAGCAGTTGATTATAATGCATCATCAAATTGGCCAAAATATTTAATAAACAAGCATACAAAGGCCCGGCCAATGTGTTTTTGTTTATTAAATATTTTAGGTCATTTCTGGCATACACTACCATTTTTTTTAAATAAATTAATCATTTTATTCAGCAATGACATATTAAATTTATCAAAAGTGATAGAAATTTTTGTAACATTACTACTTCAAATAAATGCTGTTCTTTTTAAACTTTCTAGTCACTTAAAAAAAAATCCTGGGAAAAAAAAGCAAAAGCATAAAAGATAATCAGCATATTAGAATGATTTCTGAAGATCATGTGACACTGAAGACTGGAGTAATGATGCTGAAAATACAGCTGCGCATCACAGAAATAAATTAGAGTTTAACAGATATTCACATAGAAAACAGTTATTTTAAACTGTAATAATATTTCACAATTTTTACTGCATTTTTGATCAAGTAAACGCAGCCCTGTAGAGACCTTTTTCAAAAACATTAAAAAAATGAATGAAAATGAAATCTATAGAGTTTTGTGCAACTTCGCAAACATAGGGAAAATTACTGGCTTAAAAACAGAACTGGATTGCATGTTTTGAATGAAGGAGAGCACTGTATCTGATTAACACAATCTGAAATAACTCTTCTTCAGCTGCATTTAGACATTATTCAAGAGCCTGAATAATGAGACTCTCAAGACAACTGGGAAAGGAGCACAAAGCGGGAACATCAAAGGACAATTACCAGCCTTATGAGAATGTCGATCAACATGTAATGATGACGTATTTAGAAAGCAATAAATGTCTGACCTGTTCAGCTCATCTTCAGTGTCCATGCCAGACCCGTCATCCGCTGAGAGTGGAGGTTATGTCCAAAACAGTATATAAAGGTAACAAAACACATAAATAAATCATGCAATCTATTTTGCATAGTCCATAAAATAAAATGCCTTACAAATGAAAGGTGCTTTATCTCATTTGATTATTTTCTCCTTTTATTTGGATCTTGATAGACGTGAAGCAAATCTAATTAATCATTCTGACAGTGTAAAAATAAGTTCTGAGATATCAAAAAAACATAAATAAATAAATAAACATTAATGCGGCTTCCTCCCTTTGACGACAGGGTTATTATAGTTAAAACAAACATACAAAAAAATTGTTCATAAGTTGAATTACTTTAAAAATGTCAAATTAAACCATCATTATAGCTAGTTGTCAAGATTTTTTTCATTTTGTTTAATTTGATGTACTAAAACAACTAAATAAAAAATGAAAAAATTTTTTTTTTAATTTAAAAAAAAATTTATATTTTAAAAATGTATAAATACTAGGGATGTGCATCTCATGACTGAGGCCGATACGATACGAATCTCGATGCATAGCCAACGATATGATACATTAAAGATACATATGAAGCGATGCAGTGCGATCCGATTTCGATTCGATTCAACACAATGCGATTCGATGCAATGGAGAAAATATGATCACTTTTAATGCCTCAAGGCCTGTTTCATAAAACAAGTTTACCAAAAAAGCCAGGCTTATTTCAGTTAGTCTGACTCATTGTCAAATGATTTGGTTCCATAAAGCAAATTTAACATTTAACATCATTAAAATGAAAATAAATAATAAAGAAAATGACTTCTAAACTGCTATAAGAAGCACACATGAACTCATTTGAGCTTAGTAATTAGTACTGAACTAGCTTACATTTGATTTACACATTACAATAGTACCTTTACAGTTACTGCTATCATAAAAATACACTTATATGAAGGTTTAAAATTCTACAAAAGGCACATTTAATGTCCAACAACAAATATTTTATCAAAATTTATATTTTACTCAGAATTATTGCGCTCCTATTCGATTGCGCTCTGTCTGTTTAGTTGCAGCTGCGCTCGTTTTCCCCGATGCAAATATGTTAGAAACGATGCATCGCGATACAAACGCCGACTTGTAGCCGATGCACACTTTTTAAACCGATGCATCGCATCGTTAACTTTTTATGCCGATGCCCCGAGCGAATCTGGGAATCTTCGAATCCCTAATAAAAACACAAGGAAATGACTTAAAAACTCTAACTAAAATTTAAATTAAAACAGAAAAAAATTACTAATGTTAATAAAAACAATAATACTGGCGGTCTCTATTTTTGCAGTATTCTATGTTTCTTTGTCCCAGACCTGCCCACTTATGGTCGTGCTAATATATCAACCTGCGGCATAAATGCTCAGCCCTAATAGCAGCGTCCATAATCAATGATTCATCGTTTTCCTCTGAATGGTTTTAAGTTGCATGAACACATCCAGGGGAGCGAGGCTTGCTCTTCCAGCCCCTCAATTTACATAGAAATGAGAAACATGCCCAAGTCTCGTCTGTGCGAATGCTGCGGGCGAGTGCCTCTAGCACTTCCAGCCTCTCCAATCCAACCGCTCTTTATGTTTTTTATTTCTCCTGATTGATTGGAGCGCTGCTTTACACGCACTTCATTAACCCGGCCTCTCCTGTCCTCCCTCGTAATCGTGCGACACGCAGCCGGAGTGAAGGGACCCCACGGCAAACGGGTTCACATGCTAACGGTTTTCAACGGGGGCCTGAGCGCTGTTGACAAGCCTTACCTGTTCTGGCACAATCAGCTTCTACTGATTGAGATCATTGCTGTGTTATCTTCTATATGGCTGTCATGGTTTACATGCACAGATTCTGTTTAAGCCGTAAGGTCATGCATACGCTCAAAGGCCACTCATTTATTGGAAGGAAAGGTCATCAACGGTTTAAGCTTGATGCATTAAGCTCTTGAATCTTGAAGCAAAACGAAATCGGCACAACTACATTATCAACCATAAACACGACCCTGCTTCACATGTAAATGAATTTATTGAGGTCCTTGCCTGCTTTTTTTAATGCCATGTGCGCATGTCTGTTTAAATTTTGTGAAATAATTTTTCGTTATTTGAAATAAAGCTGAAATTTGTAATTAATTGAAATAAAGCTGAAAGATATAAATATTAGATGAAAAACCAACTTAAACGTAAATGAAAATTAGAAATGCTGCTTTGGAATACTTTATAATAGAAATAGGAAAAATTGAACAGAAATACTTTCTAAAATAGTTTTAGTCAGTTTAGTACTTAAACTTGAGATAAATATGAATTGAAGCTAAATAGAAATTACTGAAACTTAAAACTAAAATTGAAAATTTTCATTAATTGAAAAAGCTGAAAAATATAAACAGTAGATGGAAAAATGACTTAAATGTAAAAGAAAATTAGAAATGCTGCTTTGGCAACTAACTACAATAAAACAGTTTTAGTCGTTTTAGTCGAAATAAATAATTTTTATAAATAGAAATCTAAACAGAATTATAAAAAAATGACGAAAATAAGAGAGATCAAGATCAAATAACTTAAAACTAAAATATTTTCATTCATTAAAAAAGCTGCAATATTCTAAACATTAGACGAAAAAACTTCAATGTAAACACAAAAAATAGAAATGTGGCTTTGGCAGCTAACTAAAATAAAACAGTTTTAGCCATTTTAGTATTTGAAATAAATTTTATAAATTAAGCTAAATAGAAATATAAAAAAAAAATTATAATTACAAAAAGATCAAATTATTTTAAACTAAAACTGAAAAATTTAATTAATTGAAAAATCGGAAAGAATATAAATATTAGATGAAAAAGGGACTTAAACGTAAATGAAAATTAAATAAAATATGTTTAGTACTTAAACTTGAAATACATGTGAATATATTTAAAACTAATAAATATCACAGAAAATACTGAATACTAAAATTATAGACATTTAAGCTAATTCAAAACATGATTAAATTCTATAAAAGTATTTCAGTAAATATAATAAACTTTTATACTAAAATAAAAAATACTTATTTCACTCACTGAAATGCAAATCAATTTCTAACCTTTATATAATGTGTTTCTTCGATTGGAATTCTGTCTCTATACGTTAAAATAAACCTACCATAAAAATACAGACCCTTCATTTCTTTGTAAGTGGGCAAACTTACAAAATCAGCAGGGGATCAAATAAATATTTCCCCACTGTATTCAGAGTATTGTGACTCATGCTGCACTAGACTCTTGTCCAATCAAAAGCTCTCTAGAATAAGATCGTCACTGCTAAATATGAAAAGATGTTTTCAGTAGAAGATAACAAGCTTGCATACTCCATTTCTACTCCTTGTCTTTACCTGGATCTTCAGCATCTGTTGAACCTCCGTACTCCTCCTCTTTCTTAATCGGCTGCTTTTTTGGGGTCGTCTGCCTCTTTTCTGGTGTTTTCTAGGGAAGAAATGCTAATGCATTAATGTCACTCATGTGTTTCCTGCTTGTGACAGGAAGTCAACGAATCTGAGGATGTCGTCTCTATGGCAACAACACGCCGCATCAAGGTTATAAAGCTCTTTTCATTCACAAATGAAGACTTTGATGGGAAGACAGTCGGTTTTGCGTGTTTCTTGAGACGTCATTCCTAAAACATATACGACAGACAAAGCAAGTACCGCTTTCTGCGTCTCCTCCTCGCTCTCATCCTCTTCTGCCTCACTCTCTGAACTGGACTCGGCTCCATTCATGAGATACCTGGAAAAACAACGAGAAACAGAGATTGAGTTTAACTGGAACTGGATGGGAATGTCTGAACATGGAGTCCAGGAGCTGAAATAAGTCTGACGGCTTTGATGGCGATTCCAGGAACAGGATTAAGACTGTAAACACTCATGAAGAATCACACACATGCATATGTGACCCTGCAGCACAAAAGCAGTCTTAAGTCGCTGGGGTATATTTGTAGCAATAGCCAACAATACATTGTATGGGTCAAAATTATTCATTTTTCTTTTATGCCAAAAATCATTAGGATATTAAGTAAAGATCATGTTCCATGAAGATATTTTGTAAATGTCCTACCGTAAATATATCAAAACTTAATTTTTGATTAGTAATATGCATTGCTAAGAACTTCATTTGAACAACTTTAAAGATGATTTTCTCAATATTTAGATTTTTTTGCACCCTCAGATTCCAGATTTTCAAATATTGTCCTATCATAACAAACCATACATCAATGGAAAGCTATTTATTCAGATTTCAGATGATGCATACATCTCAATTTCGAAAAATTGACCCTTATGACTGGTTTTGTGCTCCAGGGTCTCAAATGAGATGCACAAACAAACCAGTCCTGGTGTATTTAGGCCATTATAGACATTTTTCTTTGTGTACCTTTACATTTTGCACATTTGCTCTATTAAACAATGAAAAAAAAAATATATATATATATATATATTGTCATCATTTCATCCTTGAGTTGTTATAAATCTATGGAGGCTTATTTCTGCCAAGCAAAAAAATAAATAATTATTATTATTATATATATATAAATCATATCTCATATCATCATAAGTCAATTCTGAGAAAAAAAGGTCAGAATTGTGAGATGTAATCGCAAGTTTATATCTCACAATTACGAGTTACCAATTGACATATAAACTCAATTCTGAGCAAAAAGTCACAGTTGTCGAGTTATAAACTATAAAACAAAACATTTCAGGTGTAAACTCAAATTCTGACCTTTTTTTCTCAGAATTTCCTCAAAGATGCAATTCGGAGGATAAAGTCAATTGCAAGATAAAAAGTCGCAACTACCTATTTATATTTTGTGGTGGAGTTTATATCTTGCAATTCAGACTTTTTCTCAGACTTACAAGATTATAATATAAAGTCGAGTTTGCACCTCACAGTTAATAAACTTTATATATTGCAATTGAGTTATTAACTGTGAGATGCAAACTCAGAATTCTGAGAGAAAAAAATTGAAATGCAAAATAAAGTCGCAACTACCTTTTTTATATTTTTGGTGGTGGAAATCAGCTTCTATATAAATCTGCATGACTTTCTGTAATAACATTTTTTTGCAGAATGTCAAGAATGTTCTTTTACCTTTAAAATAATGGGGATTTGGGCCTTAAATAAATGCGTTTCATTGAAAACAGGAAATGTTTTTACATGTTTTAGGTGAGATATTCTTTTAAAATGTGCATGAAAAACGCAATCACTCAATGTCTGCTTTATCAAGCAGAAGTATTTTTGGGAATAACAGAAAAGTGAAAATACACTTCCACTGCTGAAAAACGAGTTCGGAAGTTCTGCAAGGGCACACACCTGAGCTGATCCGTGTGTGTGAGAGTGCATGTGTGTGTGTGAGTGTGTGTGTGATTGTGTGTGTGTGTGTGTGTATGTGTGTGTGTGTGAGTGCGTGTGTGCGCGCGAGTGTGTGCGTGCGAGTGTGTGTGCGTACGAGTGTGTGTGTGTGCGCGCGCGTGTGTGATTGTGTGTGCGTGTTAGTGTGTGTATGTGCGCGAGTGTGTGTGTGTGAGCGTGTGTGTGAGCGTGTGTGCGAGTGTGTGTGTGCGTGTGTGTGAGTGAGTGTGTGTGAGTGAGCGTGTGCGAGTGTGTGTGAGTGTGTGTGTGAGTGTGCGAGTGTGTGTGCGCGAGTGTGTGAGCGTGTGTGTGTG